TGGATCAGCCGGGCCTTCGGGGACGGCTCCGCGCTGCTGAAGCATGAGCTGGCCTACTGCCTGGGCCAGATGCAGGACGAGGCGGCCATCCCTGTGCTCATCCGCGTGCTGGGGGACACCACGCAGGAGCCCATGGTCAGGCACGAGGCAGGTACGATGGCAGCTCCCGCGGCTGTGGGGGGAGGTGGGGGCAGGGGAAGGGTCCAGGCTGCAAGTGGAACTTGCAAGTGCATCCCCCTCCCCCAACCCCGTATTTGATGAGGGCCTCATCCAGCTTGGGTGTCGTGGCTTGGAAAACCCTGAGGCATGTAGCTGCCTCACCACATCCTCTGGCTGTCCCTGGCTGGACTGGTTGGCCGAGCATTCCCTTTTGTGCTGGCCAGGCTGGCTCCTGCTGGGTTTATTTGCTTGGCAGTCTCATTTAGGATTGGTCAGAGTCAGGCCTGTGTCCCTACTTCAGAGTGGGGCGAGGCTTCACCAGAGGACACAGCAGGGTCCTCCTCATGTAGACACCTTGATAACATCCCAACATGTCCTTCCTTCAGGTGAAGCCCTGGGCGCTATCGGAAATCCCAGTGTGCTGGATATTCTGAAACGCTATTCGGAGGATCCCGTGGTTGAGGTGAGGCTCTTGAGGGGGTCATTCCCCTGGGGTGCAGCACTGCTGGTCTGGGAGGGGGAGGCAGGTCTCTGGGCAGTTCCTGGCCACGGACAGGGACACCACAAGCGGTATCCTGCTGTGTGCTGGCACACGGCCACCCTTGGGAAGCCCTGGGCAGCCTCCCAGTGCCATATTGTGCTGTCCTACAGGTGGCAGAGACGTGTCAGCTGGCAGTGAGGAGGCTGGAGTGGCTGCAGGAGAACAAGCAGGAGCTGGGCACTAGCCCCTACCTCTCGGTGGATCCTGCCCCCCCTGCCGAGGAGACAGACATCGTCAAACTCCGAGAAACCCTCCTTGATGAGTCCCGCACACTGTTTGACCGCTATAGGGCCATGTTTGCCCTGCGAAACCTGGGGGGTCAGGCTGCAGTGCTGGCGCTGGCAGATGGTAAGGGCCAGCAGGAGGCTGCCTGCAGGCTCCTCACCGTAAGTCTGTACAGGTTAATCTGGGATTGGCCCTTCCCAAATCCAGGTCTGCCGGAGCTGTGGGACCCCTCTTAGGCTCTTCATGTATTTGTTTCTAGAGCTGCTTTCCCCCTGCTTGCTTGCAAGACCCACATCACAAAGTGCTCTGTGCTCTCTGGTGTTTCACAGTCCCCTCGCTGGCCTCCAGGCTTCCTTTCTCCATGGGTCCAGGTGGGAGAGGACACAGTCTGTAACGCTGGCTTGGGACCAGCCAGCCTGATCTGGTGTCTCCTGGTGCACCACAGGGTGTCAGGGTCCTGCTGTCCTGTCCTGGAAAGTCAGAGGTGGCCAACCTCATCCTGGGGTTTGGGAAGAGCTCTGGAGAGGGCAGTGAGTCTCTCCTGAGTGGGGAAGGGGCAGACCACAGCCCAGGAACCATTTGGACCCCCCCTCGCTAGACCAGGGGAGGTGGATGAGGCTGTCCAGCCATCTGGGACGAGCCGAGGGCATGTCTGCACCATGAGACGAGGCGTACAGGGATCTGTGAGCTCTTGCTACAGCTGTTTGGTCCCGCAGCACAGGAAGGCTTGAGGCTGTGGCCGTGCTGCCAGTCTGCCCCTGGCATGTGGTGCTGGTGGGGCCGGGCCCATGGGCAGTGCAGGCTCCCTGGGGCAGGAGAGGGTGCCAGCAGCTCTGCTGGGAGGATGGGTGCTGCCATCATGAAGCGGCGTCCCTACGGCTGCGGGTGTGTGGTGCCAGGGCTGTGCAGGGTCACGGAGCAGGGTGGGACAGCCCTCCCCCAAAAGCCCCATGGGTCTGGGGTGACAACTGCCAGCTGTAACCCCCGGCAGCCTGGCCCACGGCTTCCCCTGGCTTTTGGGTGGGGGGCTCTGGC